AAGAGGCTGTGAATTGTGTATTTCCTCAGCTGTATTTTTACCATTATCACCTACATGTGTTCCAGTTCCCTATTTCATACCTATCCATATGATGCTTATGTAAGTATGTGAGCTGGTGGTAAGCTCTGCTACTGCATATTGCAGTTGAAATTATAGATCCCCCTGCAACAAATAAAGGTAGATAAATCCTTAAGATGAGCCAGCATCCTGACAGAACCAGCAAATTGTTCTGTTTTTGTAGCATACCTTTAAAGGCAGCACAGCTCCAGTCCACCCAGCAGTGCATTAGCAAGATACTACATAACACAACAGATGTAGGCGTGCGAGGGAAGCAAAGTCATCGCTACACAAAGCATTTTGTAGATTTGAGGATGCTTTTCTAAGCATTTGTAGTATCATTTGCCTCAAAGCCTGTTTAAACCCTTACATTCAGAGCTCTGTTCAACAGAGCATTTTAAGCTACTTGAGAAAAAAAATAATTACAGCATCATGAATACTTCAGTAAAGAAAGCTAAGTGAATTCCGTGCAAGTGAAAGGAAGCAAAACTGACTGACATCCCCATGAGCTGAATTCTGTTATACTCACAAAACAGTCCAAGGGCAAACACAAAGCCAGTTTTCCTCCTACACTAAGTATGTTAACCTGAGGAACCTTCCAGGAAAGTCGAGAAAGAATGCATCCATTCATTCATTGATTTATTCATTTTCTGCCCTAAGACAACCAGCTAAGGAAATATGGCTGGGGAAGAAAGAAACATAAGAACTTTGTACGAGGCAGAACCCTGCCTATTTACAGCCTTGATAAAGGCCACTATGTGATTCTAGATGATCTTTAAACCAAAACAAAAGCCAAAACAAACAAGCAAACATAACCAACAGCAGGCATTCAAAAATCAGGCTCTCTGTAGCAAGGAAGGGATGTGCACAGCTATCTCTCCTGCCCTTAGATGCTTCCCTCAAGGAGAGAGAAGGGGGTACAGCAAAGAAACTTACTGCTGGAGTCACATGAACCTTTTCAGTAGCAGGAGCACTTCACTCTCCAGATACATTAGGAGGAAAGTGACATTTATAGCTCTATTGAAAACAGAAAAAAAGAAAAGCAATGAAGAGACCAGTTGCGTCCCTTGCTTTCCTTCCTCTCTCGCCTCCTCCTAGCTCATATACTGTCCGGGAAGAAAGATTTGACTCCCCTTTGACTTTTCAGAACAGCTGGCTTGCCTCTAACAAATGAGACACCAGAAAAGGAAGGTTAGGAGTGATTGAGCTGCAAAAGAGACCCAGCTGACCTCAGGCTATCCTAAGGCCTCCCCTCTATTAGAAAAACCTGACAGTTCCCAAGGAACCAAGTGGAGGCATTTCCTCACTAAAGTTCAGGGAAATCTCTGTTTTTCAAGCAACTGCTAATAGTTCTCATCATGGCTCAAATCCCGCTCTTGTTTTTGTTTGGGGAAACCAGGACCAAACCCTATCATTGCTGTCTTTGCTATTACACCACTGACAGCTGCTGTGAGCCTTACATATGATAGACTATGATTTTAGGTAGGAATTTTAAAGTAGTTGTGTCTAACAACCATATTTTTTCATTTCTTTAGAGATGCATCATTTGAAGATATTTAACCAATCTTAGGTTTCTTTCTTCTAACGAAATTGAAGCAAGAATTCCACATCATTACAAGAGCTGATGCATTTCAAACCAGATGCATAAAAAAAACACTCTCATGTTAAATGTTGTGATCAGCTGGGAGAGCTGATGCACTCTGCGTGGCCAAGGAATTCTGTCAGTGTGAATGCAAATACCGATGGCAAGCTATCCGTGTTGTTATCCCACATTAGTGGTAGTGCAAAATGAGAGCTATGGAAAATGCCAGGGCAAGCAGAGAGATGCTGTGTTCGTTAAGTGTTGCAGATGATAACTAAAACCCATCAGACAGCAAAGTGCTGTGCATTTTCCTTAAGCAACTCAACTCAAATAGCAAATGTGGAACACTACAGGAATGGTACATTCCTCAAATCGTTTCCTAGATGCTGGCCTCAGTTAAGAGCTGCAGACCAAAATCTACTAATGAATGAGCATGTTGGCCTTTGATGCTCCATGCTCAGTGTCAGAAGTGGCATAGGGTCAGAAATGTTGTCCAACAGACTGCACAACAGAGGGTGATGTTTTGATTATTATTGATAGTAGGTCTTTTTTTTGTTTTTTGGTTTTTTTTTGGTAAGAGCCCTTTAGTTTCTTGAGATTTTACCCAGAACCTATAGGCTGCTCAGAGGAGTTGCTATTTAAAATGCCTCATCATGAAGCTCTCTACTGTCTCTGCATCCAAGTGGAGTGGAAATCTCCTAGTAATGACAACTTGGACATCATTGCATGAAGTCATTGAACTCTGTACCTGGCTCTTATTAGAAGTGAGCTTGAAGTGGCGAATGTCCTCGTGCTGCTATAAAATGGCAGATAATCAGCTGCAAGATTTAAGCCCTGTCTCATGTTTCCAGCAGATGTGTGGAAGGATCTGAGAGAGTTAAGTGGTGGTAGTCTTTAGTCCAAGGATGTACTGCCATAACATGGCATGAAATTGTTATCTAGGAATGACTTAATCTGTGACCTGAAAAGTATCTCCCTCCCCAGGAGAGTGAAGTATGCTGTCCAATCAAAGGCTGTCACTCACAAACCAAGTGCAATTAGCCAGAGACGTGTTGCTAGATAGCAACTATAATGAACCCCAAGCAGAGACACACCTTCCCTGGCAGGCTGCTATTTGGGCTTGGAAAACAGTTTCAGAATAAATAAAACAAAAACAGAAGCCATCACATTAGCTGCTGATTTTTCACCTCCTACTCAAACACTCCATGCAGATCCATGCTGGGCTCTGTCAAAAGCAAGTAATTACTCTCAATCAGAGATATTTGGCATGGAGGGAGCGACTCAGTGCATTCCTTGGGGTGGGTGGGTATTTTTATACTAATTCAGATAATGGAACTGCCTTGCTGAGTGGGAGAGGACTACTCATTTCCAAGACTACCTCCCAGCCCCCTTTCACTCCATTCCCTGATTTTTAACATACTCCCACTGCTTTATGACTGGTGCATTACACATAACCAGCTCCTGAGCTGACTGCTTCTGGGTAATAGGAGAGAATTGCTCACATTCCAATGTTGGGTGAGTTGATTTTTATTTATTTATTTATTTATTTTGGTATTGTATATAACAACACATACATTACACTGCAACATATTACATATAACATATATTACAGTAAACCACAATTTTTCCCCCTACCTCCTCTCCAGTTGCACAATTCAGCAAGGTGGCTGAGAATGCAGGAACAAACAAATCAGATTACTCTCTGCAGCAGAAGGAAGATCTGGCCAACTTGCCCAGCTGCTCCCAGAAGGTACCAAACTAGAGCCCAGTTATCTCAGCAGAAGCCAAGCCAGGACAACTGATGTCTGACTGCCTGCAAGGCCTCCAAGCTGATATCCTGGGTTCACAGCTTGTTTGGACACGAGCTAACTTCTTCCTATTTGCTTAAGCTGGAATCTGAATTTCTGGCCCCTTTCACTTCTTGTCAGATGATAATGTGAGTCAAGGGAAAGCCTGTGCTGTCATGCTAAGACCACTCCAGCTACGTTCCTGACATACCATCAGTACAGGCAGCTTATTCCACAGGACAGCCAAGACCCTTCCCACTTCCAGCTACCCCAAAACCTGCAGGGATCCATTAAGCTGTGTCTAAACTGATATTTTATCTCCACTGTTATGCAAGACTTTCGTGGTGTTTGTAAAAAGCTTTTTTGCTAATAAAATACTAAAAAATAGTGTTGCACAAAGTAAATTTATTTGCTGGTAAGTTACTTTTGTAATCACGTGAGTACAACCCAAGAAAAAATGTCCAAGTAATACTTCAGCATCAGGTACTGATAAGATGCTCCCCTACTAAGCACACTGAGAGAATTATGCCACGCTATCATTGCTAGCCTCATTGCCTGCATGGCACAGAGATGCTTGTTGGAAGATCATTTGCAAGATTTTTTTTTAATTTTTTTTTTTTTTTTTTTTTACTTTAACCCAGGGGTTTCTTTCTCCTCCACTTTCAAGAACAAACTCTCCAGAAGAGAATTAAAGATTTATTTATCCCAGATTGTTGAAGGATAGTATTAGCAAAATCTCCTGGCATTATCAGGGCTGCACAACTGGCAGCTGAGGATGGCTGTGCCATCCAAGGCAAGATGTTCTCAGGGGCCATTTCTGACAGTGCACTGCAGTATGACAAGCTGTAGCACAGCAGAGGTTTTGTAGCATATGTTCCTTGCCAGCATAATATTGCCCACCACACAACTGCAGAAGAGCAAATAAGTCAGAGGCATATCCAAATCTGAGAGTTCAATGGGGAAACATTGCCAGCAAACTTCCCCTACGGGATACATTATGTAGTCTTCAGATACATTATCTCTAGAAGTAGACAGCTGGAAGACAAAGAGGAGATCTATAAGCCTTTGAGATGCTACACTATACAAATCTGTGATGTTCAACACTTGCTATCATTCCTACCACTGTGTTTTCTCCCCTGTTATGAATCAGAGTATCTTTCTCTGATACAGGGTGTACACCAAGCAGGTAGGATAGCTGGCCAAAGGAAGCAAATCTTAGCTCTGTGCAATTAATTCTACAGTAAGGGTGATTAGTTACATTCTTGCTCTTATCATTTCAAACAATGACAAAGAAAGGCAGCACCATCCTACCACTGGAAGTTTATTTAGGTTAAGACAGGTGAGCCTTAAGGACAAGCTGGTATTTGAACTTAATCCAGGATAAAGAAATGACTGCTGTGATTTACCAACTTTGAAGATTTGCTTTCCACATAAAAGAAGTTAAACTGAAGGAGGTACAATTTTTCTAAAATCAGCAAGGACATGCCTTAAATTTATTTAGGAATATTGTGCAGGTAAGTCCTCAGATTTTCAGAAAGAAATACAATTATTTGCTACAAAAAAAGAGAGGAACAGTTATTTCTGAGGTAGCCTGCTGAATGAAGCATGCAAGACCAGGGAAACAGGAAGGAAATACAGTGGTGAAAGATAAAAGGGTTTAAATTGAGGTATGCATTAGGAAACAAAAATTACTCACTTCTCTCAAACGAAGCTATGCCGAGTTTTTCTCTGTTATATATATTTGGGCTTCCAATCCAGTCAGACCTACATTAGCATCACAACACTGAGTCACTCGGCTGACTGACGCAGACATATGGAGCTCTCCAGCTGAAGAACTTCACCTTTTCTATATGAACAACAGAAACAGGGAGTCCTCCTTTTTGTCTTTTCTTTATTAAATTCTGTGTGTGGTTTTTTTGCTTGTTTTGCTTGCTTAAATTTTTAAACACATTCCTCCTCTTAGTAGTATCATCTTTAAAACAGTGTTGTAGTCTAAGCGTTATAACTTAGGATCTCAGTTATCTTCTTGGACAACAACCAACCAGGAACCTGAAAACAAATGTTACCTTCTGTGAAAGCCTGGTTCATCTGAAGTTTAATGCTTTTTTTTTTTACCCACACAACTTCCCATGAAGTAGCAGACCGTCCCATAACAGTGGCTATGGGAAAAGCTGCTGCCCAAGTACTGCAGTGCCCAGTCAGTGCACATCAGTCTTGTGTATCTTACCACAGATTAACCAGCCATTTGTCTTTTAAGTCACTATTAATAAGCAAGGAGTAGCCCTTTGTCATCCAAGCAGATCAGAGCACTTTACCATTGAAGTCACTTGCCCATAAATCTAGAGTTTATCGCAAGCAACTTCTGACGTGCATGCAGAGGAGTGAGAGAGGAACTTGGTGAGCAGCAGGCAGAGTGAGTGTACAGATGCATGCTATGCTCTGGACCAAATGTGCAGATCACACAGAGATTCAGCACAGTTAATGACATCTTCCCTTGCCAGTATTAAGGTTCCATAAAGTGATGAATCATTCTGCCATCTGCAAATAGCAGGTCCTCCCCCGTCACCCACCCCACACAGGACAAGGAAAAGGGAAGTTTGAAAACAACTTTCAGCTCTTCTCATTTGTCTGTATGAGCTGCTTCATTGCCTTCTTTGGTGATACCATTGGTAGTCTTTTCAGTTTTCTCTCAATAGGATTTCATAACTGTGTAACATAACACACCGAGACCAGCAGGTTTCAAAACTGCACAAACACCGACATTAAAAATGACAACCAAAATTGACACCTTTGCAGACAGCTGCATAGACAAATAGATGGTTTCATGTTCACTGCCATTAAGCAAAGCAGCATTCATTTCAGAGCCCAAACTGAATACGAAATATCACAAGAAAGCCTTAAGTTGGAAGCCTAGCAAATGAAACTGAACCTAGCTACTTGCTAAGATCTTGATTGTGTTGCAACTTCCAGAGACCATGGAGAGCCGACAGGTCAGCTGCAAAGAGCAGTTTCATTTGCAGGTCAGTGCCTGCCACATAAGTGGTACTTGGTGGCTGGAGCTCTAAGGCGATATCAAAGCATAGACAAACAAGGAGCTCGTGCCACCTGTCTCCACAGCTGCCTGTTGATAAACGTGTGCCAGGAACTGCTTCTCTTCCTTGTTCCAAGCAGGCCAATGACTCAGTCATTGGGATGACCAAAACCAGGACCGTTACAGCAGTGAGTTACTGCTTAAAAGCTGCTGTGAATGTGGTTCCCCAAGAACTTCCGTAGTAGCAGTCCACATTCCACATCATTCCCATCAGGGAGCTGGCATGGCTGTTGGACACCCACACTGGCAACCAGAATGGGCAACTTGATCCAGATGCAAAAAAAATAAGTTAACTTTTGCTGTGCTAGCAGCATGGGGAACCCAGCATGGAAGCTGGTTAAGATGATTTCAGCAGCACTGCCATAAAAAGCGAAACCACAGCCAAATGATCTGTTTTAACAGTTCCTTTTTTTTTTTTTTGTTTCAAGCTTGTTTTGAAAGCTGCAATTTAAACTCCATGTTAGATAGTATATCCTCCCTTACCTTTTTTTTTTTTTTTTTTTTGAATACTCATCTGGCTTCCAGATCAAAATGAGACCACTGATGGTCTTTAAATCTTCAGATTAGTTTAGGGGAAAAGAAAAAAAAAGGAAGAAAAAAGCATTTCAGACAGGCTAACAGGCTTTCACTGCTGAATTCAGACTTACAACAGCCCACAGCAAAATCTTTCCCCTTGAGTTATCTAAAACCTAAGGCTGCTCCCTGTATACGCTTTTCAAGAATAAAGGGTTTGGTCAGAAAACACCTTCTCACCATGGTTATTCAAGCTCCAACTTCTAAACTTCTATCAAGATAAATAAGAGTATCACAGTGCTCAACACCTACTGATCTAGTCATCCCTCCTAAATCCCACATTTAGGTAAAGTAAGAATTGAAACAGGAGAGTGGGGCTCATGTTGCCATTACCAATTTCAAGGGCCTCACACTGAACTGAACATGACACATATAAATGTCTTCCTTGAGCACCTGGAAGATCATTTCTAGCTCAAGAATGACTTTATCAGATTTGGTACTTGTGAAACTAACTTTGTTTTTCTGTGTAGAAAAATATCTGAAGAGACAACAAATTGTACATACTATTCAGCTAATGTGCAAATTTATCCATCTGTCATTATGGCATGAAGGTTCTCTTCTTCACTTTGCATCATAAAGAGCACATTTCTGTTTTGTTTTGGTTTGGTTTTGGCTTTAAGCAGAGCATCATTAAGTGCTTTGCCAAGAAAACTGATTAAGATACCATTTTAACTTGTATGTTTTTCTAAAACAAATATTCAATTGGCAGCTTCAAGTGGATTAGAAATGAACACCTTTAACAATTTAAAAAATCAAAGAAGTAAACCAGTGTTACCCTGCAAGAAGAAAACAATTACCAATTCATTAAGACTAGTTGGATACATCACCATCCAACAAAGTGTTCAAAGACATGCAGATTGTCACAGCTGTCTTAAGCAGCAATTAAAAAGAATTATTCAGAAGTACTATCCACTTACAGGCTTAAGTTATTCGGGTTCTTCCACTATTTTCAAGTGAGACAGCAATGCAGTGGCAGCCCCCTGAGAGATCCTGCATGTCCACAGCAGGTGGAATGATGACTGCACCCTCTGGCAGAAAGCTCCCCCAAACCATCAGGGCCATAGCAGAGAGCTGTGCTCAGAGAGAAGCAACAAACTGAAACTTTATTAAACTCTCCAGGAAGGAAACTGAAGTTTCCTCCCCCCTTCTCTCCTTGTTTCCTCTCCTGCTTTTCTAAGATTCCACAAATAATGTATTAGTACCATATTCAGTGATTTAAGTTCCTTTTCTTCTGTATTTCATGGTCAAGAGTTTTTTTCTGTTTTATTCCTAGCCATCAACGTTCAAATTTCAAGTGTGTTATTTAAGAACAGCTAGTCAAACAACTTGGATGACGCTGTCTCTACTTCTGATGGAATGAGCACTGCATTTTATGGTAGTCATCTCTGAAGCAGCATCCATGTCATCCACATGCCACTGACATCAGCTTTTCATATGATTTCTTCCTTCCCTTCCCTGCCATGTCCTCAGTAACCTACAGCTTCTATGCTCTCTCTTCCCATCATATATGATTTCTTCCCCATAGTCATAACAACAGACGTAGGAGTTGGGGCAGAAGTGAATGAACATCCCTCTCTTCTCTCTGCATGTCAGTACTTTCCCCAGGTCACTATTTTGTTAACTGCACAGCAGTTAAGCTAATGCCTCAGTATTAGACTCATGGGATATCAGTTACATAGGGGGAAGAGGATATGAGTACCAGCAGGAAACGTTAATGTGGCATGTTTAAAGCAAGTCTTTCTGTTCTTTTGCATCAGGTATGTGTTAGTAATCAAACAAGATTTCTTACTTAAGAAGAAAAAGAACTGGAAAAAAACCACATTTTCAAGTAACTGTAGAAAACACTGTGGGGAGCAAATAAACAACTTTCTTTGCAAGCATACGTGGCAGCTCTCCCTCTGGGAAAAGTTTTATTTTTCTCTTCATGATTTATCCACAACTCAAACCTCCACATACTCCCCACCCTCCAGTGGCTGTCAGTTCACATGGAGTTTTGAGACGTGACTGTCACTGATGCATTTCATGAGGAGACTTTATAATGTCACCTTAATTTTCCACTCTGACCAATTCTCTCCCCCTTAGACTTCCCACAGAGTGAGAATCTGTAAGAAACAAAGAGGAGTCAGTCACCTAACTTCATATTTCAAGTGAGTGGCTGCAGCCTGAGCTGAATCAGAGCCTTTGAAATTGAGTCATTTTGTCTAGTTCACTCTAATGTGATAAGCTAGATGGGATAGAAATTCTATATATTATTAACATGGAATTATTTCAAAACATGGAGTTAAGATAAAAGCAGAGTCCAGGGAGGGCTAATCTGTGCCTGGCAGCCCACACTCTAATCACATGCCGATTACTTTGTTAGTCATCTCTTCATCAGTGCTCTCAACCCACTCCTGCTCCTCCTGCAGTAAACTTTAATTAACCAAAGAAACACTGGACTTACTCACTGAGAATGGAAAAGCAGAAAAATTGAGGTGCTGAATGCCTTTCATCATAGGGGAGAGCAAATTAGTGTGGAGGTAAACTTAACTTTTCAAACCAAACCAGCAGCACTATCTGCATGCAAGTGAAAAATTTTGATTTTCAAACAACCCGAAACTGAAGATTTTTGTGGCATTTTGTGTGCTTTCACATTTCTTTCCCTGGCATGCCTTTTAGGATAGCAGTTGGTCTTTTACAATAAATTAAATTGACAAAAAAAAAAACAAAACAAATAGAGCAAAACATGAGTCACCTGCGTGGAGAGTTCAATAAAATCACTGTTCTTCATCTGCCATGCATTATCCCTATTCTGATGGGACAATTGTTAGCTAAATGACAAAAACAAGCAAGTCACATAATAACAATGTTTGTACTTCAGGGTGAGCCTTCAGTTCTTTCTAATTTTAGTGAGCTAGCACCACCCCTGCATGTCATGCTGATTACAACAGCAACAGCATCTGTCATGCCACCAAGCAAGTAACATCTGAGGTGTTATGGTTTTGCTATGCTCTTAGGGATAACAATTAACCATTGATGGAAAAGAAACCACTTCAGTAGAGCATGATCCTGCTGTACAACTAGTTGAACAAGTTGCTATCGCTTGACAAAGAGAATCTGTGATAAAGAAAATCTATGATGGAGTGAAGGTTTTATCCTCCTGGATCTCCATCCTTGCATTAGCAGTAGCATTCTTCCTTATGACATCGAGCCAGGTAGCATGAGGCCTGGAAGATGAATAAAGGGAAATAAGGTTCTGACTCTTCAGCATTTCCATATCAGTTCTGGAGTTCTTTGCCTGAAGATCCTACGGGGTTATTTTAGCTATTAGGTTAGCACTGGAGAAACAGACTGGCAGGTCATAGACTCTACTAGGTTTCACAACAGCAGCTGTCATGCCACATAAAGAGCAGTGCTTTGGACTGAAGCTGCCTGTTAGCCTTGCATGCTCTTAAGACATGCAAGACACTGCTTAGTGTCCTGCACCAAGCATGAACCTGGGATATATGCATAATTTACAGTACTGTAGTGGAAAGAAGATTATGTGTACAATAACTCAATCAATATTAGGCAACAAAAGTATGCATGATGTACTTCTGTATTACCTAGCCACAAGAGACTGCTGATAGAACTAGCCTTAGATAGTTCTCAGGTTGTTAGGCAGATCTGCCACTTCCACGGCCTTGCTGTCTCTATGTTCTCCTTAGCTTTATGTTATTTGATCAGCGTCCCTCACAGCATCCCAGTTCTCACCATAATTGACACATTGCCCTTCCTCAGCACTCTGCCACCTCACTCCTTTCTCCCTTTCTGCAGTTCATGATGTGATGTACGTCTTCATGCCCGTACCTCTGCTTCAGTCACAGCAGACCAAGATCAATTACACAGGGATCCTGCTTTTGACACTGTCCTCTGGCAGATATCTGAGAATGACAGTAACATTCAGTGTCTTTTTCCTCCACTTGTGGAACTTCTTCCGTCCCTCACCTTGCTGTCAGTTGGCATGTGCTCTTGTGCCTGATCATGTGAGGGCACAAAATCACCTAATAAGTAGGTCTGTGAGGAATGAGAGTAAAGCTCTACAAGAGCTCACCATCTGGACAGTGTTTGGTACAGAGCTGTCACTCAGTGCTACACTCACATGCCAAATCAGATCCATCATTAGGAAGCATGGGCTATATTTACAGCTGAAGCAGGGCATATCTCAAAGAATTAATCTCCATTTTTACATACCCTGATCTCAGGCAGAGCTGTAAAAGCAGCATCCTAATCTGGCACTTCAGATGTTACTGCTGCACCCCAAAACAGCAAAAGAAGCACCAAAGATAATGAAGTCTTGCTCCTCCTAAGCACAGTGTGAAAGGCAGGAGATCCTTACCATTAAGGCTTGTTCTCTCATAGGCAATTTCAGTTTTGCTTTGCAAACTGCTATCTCCCTCCCCTAATCAAAAAACACAGCAGTAGGTGCACTCAGCCATTTCTATATTTCACAGACTAGAAAGAGAATGCCTGTTGTTTTGGCACAGGAAGGACATGCAGGCAGCCACTCACAGACTTGCTGACCTGGCACAACATTCAGCTGTAATGCAGAATTATTTTCCCATGCAACTCATTGTTAACATTTAATTGCAAACACTGTAGAAAAGGCTACAGGATTTGGAGAGAGGTTATGGGAAGCAAAGTGTTATCTAGAATGTTGTTCCATTGCCCAGTGAACAGCCACAGAGAAAGACAGCAGGGGCTGCTTAGCTATACAAGGGAGACAGAGAAACTAGCACCACGCAATAGTCTGCAACCAAGAACAAGAAAGCATCATCATAGAAGCAAGTTTCAGAGCTTCTCTCATGCCCAGTATAAAAGGAAATAAAAATCAGACAAATAACAGAGGTGTAATAAATCATGACCTGAAATCCCTGACTGAAGAGGACTGGCTTTTTTTTGGAGCTGAAGAAGCCCATGTTTTTATGAGTGCTCCCTTTGATTTCTGACATGAGATGTACAAATCACATGGTTCAATACAAGCAGGCAAATCAAATGTGAATCAAATCAAACTCAACTCTGAATTTCAGAAAAATCACGTACTAATGTAAAACCTTTCAGAATGTAAAGAACTGCTATTTTGTTATCAGTTAAGTTGTGTTCTGATCCCCTCTTTGATTTAGGGTTTTCAATTCAGATATATGTATGTCTTATGGTCTGATTAACACCAAGAAGTCTCCTCTTCTTTTGGATTGCACAGAAGAGGCGTGGTAATTAAATAATTACTCACTCATAGAAAGAACAGACTCCACATGCCTTCTGTCATGATGTGTTACAATCCTTAAGCCAAAATCACTGAAAAATGTTCTATCTAGCATGCCCACCATAGCAGAAATGGAGGAATACCTATGCACCTTCTCCATTCTTTTACATGCACACTCATGCCCTGATAGGAGTTCCAGAATAATAACACAACAAATCAGATGTGTAGATTAACAATAGAAGAAGTTTCAACTAAGTTTTGCAGCCTATTTACTACAAATAAAAATCATGCTTCACTATACCATCCTTACCATCACAATCCACTTCCTTTCAAGCTCAGTAGGACCTTGAATCCCTTCTGATAACCAAATTCCTACCAGGAGCTGTAATTTGCCATGTCACCCAGCTGGAACCCTTCTTAGGATATTAAAAACAAAAAAAAACAAAAAAACAAAAAAACCCACAAACAAAATATATGCCTCTCGATAGCATTCTCTTGATTACCTAATTTCTATTTAAAATTAACACCCAGCAGCCTAATTATCAGCTGCTTTTCATTTCATTTGTACTCCCATTAATTTCACAGCTGCTTTGCAAAGTGACAGGCTGCTGTATGAAGACTGTCTTTCGTTCAAACCCCTTCCATTTATTTCACAGAGAATGACGACACAAAGAACTGAAATGCCTGCTTGGTATTTGGCAGATGCCACTTTCATGACACGCTATTCAAACAGCAAACTGCAAGAATGACATGATGTTCTAAACAGAAAAGACATTTGCTCTTGAGCTAGTAAAAGTGTTAATTTCCACATATCCCCTCATCTCCTCACTATCCAAAGCAATTCTACTGTGAGCCATATGTTTCAGCTTACCTATCTTGTAACAAACCATAGCTGAAAAGAGGAATGCTCTTCGTCAATGCAGCAACTGCTGTTGAGTGGTAGAGGAAGAAGAATAAACAAGCAAGATGTCGGCATGGCAGGCAGATTCATGGCAGGACACTGAGCCTTTGAAGTAGTGTCTTCCAAAACTGATCCAGCTGGAACTCCATCTTGGCAGGGACACTTCTGAAGGAAGAAATAACCTGAAATTACATTTTTTTTGGCTTTTAAACACGCTAAACTGACTGGATATATGTCAACTTTATGCAGCATGATGTTTCAGCTTCTTCAAAATATATTTTCTGACATATTTCTCATTTGCCAGGGCATTTCTCTGCCAAGCACGTGGGCACCTAAATGATGGAACACAAACCTACACCGAGAACAAGCCTGCACCATCTCAGTTAAGAACATGAATAGCATTGCTAGGCAAAGCCAGGCTGATTGCAGACTGGACAGTGAAATGAAACGCAGACAGATCTATTATACCCATTAATTACATAGGAATGGCCTCAGTATAACACAACCTGCCCTTGCTTTAGCCTTTGAGCTATTGCTTATAAGTGTGGTTTGTGGTGCCATTTTTATGCATGGATTCCTGTTTACTATGAAGCAGGCTGGGATCTGCACACTTGTTTCATGTTTAGCAAGAACTTCCTCTGTAAAATTTTACCTCGTACCTGTATCAGCTGGAACGACCCAAGGATAAACTACTACTTCATAATCAACAGACAACCTGAGACATTTAATTTTCCAGAGTCAACTAATCAAAATCAGCTGTTCACACTCCACCCAAAAACTTTAATTCAGTGCCTCCAAATACAGTGAGAAATCTCCAAGTAATTACATTTTCACAGCAGCCAAACTTATCACCATATAAAAAGAAGTAATTTCTATCCATTCACACTACCCATAAATAAAGAACCAAGATAATACAGAACGTGGGAAGTACTGCTTTTAAAGAAGCCATCAAAGACCAAACCCAGCCCTTGGACTGAGCTGATGTTTGTCTACTCCTGAAGTAGATCAGCAGGAAAATGGGATATTTCACCCTTATTAAGATTAAAAGATTAAGATTCCTCAAAGTCACACTGACAGGACAGAGAACAAAACAGACAGGCTACAGTGCTGAATACGTTCCATTTCTGAAGAAATTAGTTGTGTTTAAAGGAGAAAGAAAAATGTGAAGAAAAGGTAATAATCCTTGTGTAAATTCCACCTGGAGTAGAAGATGCTATGTTTGCACACACAGATCTTGGGACTCTGACAGTTTATAAACCTTAAATGGCCCCACAGTAGAAGATGCAGCCTTAAATAATAACTGGGAGTGAATGCCACAACCTGGACCAGAAGGAGGGAGGAAGGAAACTCACATCTGCAATCTCGGGGGTTGGCAGCCAAAAAGCCAAGGGAAAACCTGAAGCTATGATTTTTTTCTGAAATTTTTGGACTAACTCATTTTTGTTTTGCTGTTAACTTAACTTTCAAAGACCAACTGAAGACCTGAAATAATAATCTAAGGAAAAGTGGAATAAACCTAATATCCTTGCAGAAATTTGAGATAGGATCTGCTTGATTTGGTTAATATTTTAAAACAAATCAGATGGCAAGTTTGGATCCAGCCTAGGTTCTGCATTTTATTTTTAGTTACACAATAACCAAACTCTAAATAACATACTTATTTGAAGTTCTGTTACCAAGTCCATTCAAAAAGACTATTTGTTTTGTCATCCCTTCTAATTGCCCTCAGCCACCACACACAACTTACTGACGATGCAAGCCTGATAAATCACAACTGCTATCGTCATCATACAGCTCACAGATGACAAAGTAAGCCAAAAGGATGCTTTTACAAATTAATTTGGAGTCAATCAGTTTTCGGAGTTTTAAAATTTTGAAGTGAGAAACAGCAAGAATCAGGAGGGAACACATGGACTGCAGGCAAAGCACACATTTACTATAAATGATGCTCCCTCTCTTGCATGGCTATAAACATTTGAGTGGTTTATTTTTTGAAGGGGAAAGGAACAGATGACAAAATTAGATTCAGTGATTCTGTTTATTACAGAAAACATGAGGTTTTCATTTATTAGCTTATAATTAGGAGCTCTGGGACCTTTCCTGATAATATGCTTCGCTAGCTGAGTAACAGCATGCGTAGGATTAGTCATGTCTGTAGAAGTGTCCCGAAGTTTCATTTCCATTGGCGTATTTACCTGATAGACGCTCATTTTTCCCTGTGAGTTGTATCTTTCTGAAGTTGTGTGCTTCAGAACCTTCTGCGTCACCTGCCCATGGCTCAGCCCATGCTGGTGCCACACACACACTCCATCCAGCAGCACTGGGGGAACGCGAGGGTCAGGCTGTGACAGCAGGCAAGGAGGAAGGACGCGGTAGGGAAGAACAGAGGGCTCGCAGCTCTCACATCAACATATGTTATGTGGGCCACAAGAGAGCAGAGCATGCGTCAGGCTGCCTCGATACTATTTTAAGCATCAATGGGTAAAATAAATTACTTAGCTGAGCAACCAAGCACCCTCCTTTCGTTATATGCTCCAGCTGAGGAGTCTGAATGCGTGGCGTAAGTCACGTGCCTGCTGCCCTCTACCTTGTGATGTTTCCAGCCTGCAGATGTGCAGCAATGGTAAGATATAAGTGACAAAAAAAAAAAAAATAGTGGCAAAATCCCTATCAATACCTCAGGTCCCCATGCTGTAAGTTACCATCTTCATGTAAATCCTAGCAAAACCCCACAAGAGGTGCCAGTAACTGCTTACATTGGAACACCAAATGAACACCAGTGAGCTTATCTTAGCTATCTCCCCTCACAAGCCTGAACCAAATCTGAATATGGGAGCACAAACAAGTTAGATGTGTGTCCTCTTGTTTTCAGAGGCTCTCATGAATCAGAAGACCAATTCTAACAGTAGAAGAAATAGCACAAAACTATAAGCAGGACTTCTAAGTGGTTTAATTGTGTAGAAAGCCTTCAAAACGTTAAGGTACCCAACTTTTCTGCACCATATATAACCTTACATACACCCCAAAAATGGCACAAAGACACAGGCCCCTTCCACTGAGGCCCACGTCCTCATGCTAACTGTGTGCTGCTTTCTCCATGGGCAGTTCACTGCCTGCCCAACAGACATCTCAGTCCTTTGTCTCCAACCAAGTGAACTTCTAACACAGCTGAAGTTAACTCGAATGGAAGCCCATCATAATGGAAAAGAAGGAATAGAGAAAATCATGCAGCAAAAACTACTCAAGAATGCAGTTAACAAGCTTGTTATTACAAGAACAGCCCCAAAATAAAAATACAATCTTTGTTAATTTTTTTATACACAAAAGCAAAACATAGTGAGGCAAAGATAGCTAAGCCCAAGCAATGGCACTTAGCTGCTCTACTGCTGGCAGTTTCAAAAACAAATCCAAGCAGAGGCAGATTAGCCTAATGAAAACAAACAACTCCACAAGGCTATTTTGTTTGTGTGTGTGTGTGTGTGAGGCAAACATGCATTTAACTTAGTTCAGTTTGCCCATGCCATATGCACTATACATTGATTCAAAGTTACGTTTCTTCCTGCAGCAGAACTCAAATTGTTAACCCTCATCTGCAGGTTAAACCACCCCTAATTTCCTTCCGTCTATTATTTCATATTCTCCTTCCTCTCTTCCTGTTTCTACTTTAAGGATATTGACATGTCAATAATTGGTCTTATTAGACACACAGAGTGTTTTAATGCCATGAAAATGGAAATATGCTCTCTGGAAGCTTCACTAGCTCCAAAAGAGAAGTGAATCAATAGTTACTGAATACTCTATGCTAAAAACACCTGTATTATTAATACAGCTGATGATAGTAATAGTCCACAGAGTCTTGAAGAGTTTCAAAAACAATACTATTTCCCTGATCAGATCTGTTCAGAAGCTCCAAAGAAATCTAGACAGAGTATTTCCCAAGAGGTTTCACTAAATAAATAAAAAAGAAAGGATTAGCATGGCTGATCTAATATTTCAACCACTCCAAACCATGGTTTCTGACAACAGCTCCCTCAAGGTTAGCCTTAAAATTATATCACAGCCTAATTTGATCTTGCTTTACATTAGTCTGAAATCATGTCTATATTTTATTGAGCTCTGATTCTGTTACTGGTTTTACATATTAGCCAGATTAAATTTTTAAGATGGTTTCATGGTTTGAAAAGCATCATCATCTACTGGTAGGCAGTTTTTAGTACAGCAGGAAATGGAATTAGGAAAGATCTACTGACTTAATTGAAGACTCCACTAAAAGCATTTGTCAGCTGCGAACACGCTGCCCTCCCATCTCAGCAGGGACCCAGGGCAGTGCTGAGCACACAGCTACTCTCCAAGCACAGAGTGATTCTGCTGCATGGATGTCTACTGTTGTCAATATCATTTCAGAACGTGCAGTAATTTGGTAATGATAATGATGCTGAGCCTGCTCTCTAACTCCAAAAGGAACACAGACTCTGGAAGAAAAACAAGTCTCTGTCTTATCCTCTTTGGCAATGTACATTTGAATCCCAGAAGTGATTTAAAAAGAAATTCACTATGAAAAGTCAACTAAAGATACTGAAATAAATATTTACCATACTCACTATTCTGGTTTACCAGGTAGTTAGTTTCTTCATTTTATTACACCAAAAGGGAAAAAATGCGAATGCTCTAAATCCAGGAAAGTTAACATTATGGGTGTCAGGGATGTCAGTCTGCTTGGAGATACCTCCAAAAAGAGGCAGAAGGCAAAAAAAAAGAGACATTTAAGTTTTGTTACTGTGCTTTCTCCCTGTGGCTAAAGACATCAGCATCGTGACTCACTCCAGGGACAGAGCTGCTCCCTGGGCAACACAACCCCCTCGTGCTGGCTTTGTTCCTCATGCTAGCACAAATTGGTCATCCGCTGACACCAAATGAAGAAATTTCCTTATTAGTCATATCTGGATCTATAATACCAGCAAATGATGTTTAAACAAGCCCACTTCTGCTTCAGGTATGTGGCCTCCCGACATTTCAAAGCTAAGTAGTTTCATCAGGTGTGGGAGGGAGGGCAGAAAGAGGAAAAAATGTGAGACATAAAGCTGTGTTGTGACTCGTGTTGAAGCCATGGAGCAGCACTGCTCCCAGCAGAGCTGGGATCCATGTGTAGCTTTTCACATATATTT